ATTCCCTGCTTTCAGCCAAGATCCATCTAACATCAGCTACAATATCTCTAGTACCACGACCCCTTCTAAACCCAGCCTGCACTTCTGGTAGTTCTCTGTTGATGTGCTGTTCCTCCTCATAGCTGTTATTAAGTCAGTTCTTTGTGTTATAATTCAATGGCGTAAATATAGAAATTGTTGAGTCACCATAGGGTTGGGAAGTTGGTCTCACCTTGGTCTAACCTAGCTTTCCAAGTGCTGAAAATATATTCCTGAAGTTTCCTTGTTTATGCTTTGGCTTATAGGAGCAAGTTTCCAAAGAGAAATATTTCTATGTATGACAATAGCAAATTAGTGAGTTTTGAAAAACCAGTTACACATATACTGCAGGAGAATCAGGCAAAGTATTACACAGTAGAATATAAATATTGAGTGTAAATACAAGAAAGGAACCAAGTATCAGATGTTGTTGTTGTTAAGTGCAGTCAAGTAGTAGACAGCCTTTTCTCCAAGTTCATAGTGTTTCCAGAGGCAAGCTTTTTTTGGAAGTGGATAGGTTAAAAATATTCTTGTAGTAGAGTGTCAAGGGAACTTTGGTGGCCTAGTAATAAGAAGCTGCACTGCAACCATAAAGGCACGCAGTTCAAATCCACCAGCTGCTCCACAGCAGAAGGCTGAAAATCTCCTCCCTTGTGATTTTAACTGCCTCTGAAAACTTGCTGGAAGGTCAGCTATGGGTTGTTCCAACTTGACAGCACACAACAACAAGAACAAATAGAGTAACAAGAAGGGATATTGGTGTGGAATGGAGGAGGGGCACTTAAAAGAGGGCCTTGAAGTTCTAACAAGAAATCATGAATTGAAAACAAGAAAAATTTTTAGGAATCTGACATTGTTTGGTCTGTCTGAATCCAGATGGCATGGAAGCTTATATCAAAGTAAATAGCTGTCCAGAGGAACCCCAACTGCAGAAGAAAAACAAGAAAGAAGACAGTGATGAGGATGACCTTTATGATTCTGATATGGATATGCTCAGATTTGATGATGATGACAATTTCCCTGCCTATATCCAAATTCGCTCAGTTGCCAAGAAGCACCCTAAAACTTGGATCCATTATATCGCTGCTGAGGAGGAAGACTGGGACTATGCTCCTACAGCTCTCCCCTCCACAAACAGGTAGGCCTCTCCCACACTGAAAGAACTTTTTCCAGTTTTTTGCAAATAAGTCATATATTTCCAAATAAGGCCATATTCAGGGTTAAGTGCTAAAGGATATGAAGGTAAATGGCAAGGGCATTAACATGTTTGGGGACTAACACTACTAAGCATCAAGGATCCTATGTTTTTCACTCACTCCTTTTTAAAATCATACCAATTACTTTAAGGTTGGATTTTACTCACCTGCCATTTACCTAGAATTTTGTCTCCCACAGAAGTTATAAGAGTCAATTTTTGAACAATGGCACTCGACAGATTGGTAAGAAGTACAAAAAAGCCCGATTTCTTGCATACACAGATGAAACCTTTCAGACTCGTGAAGTTATTCAGCAGGAATCAGGAATCTTGGGACCTTTACTTTATGGAGAAGTTGGAGACACACTCTTGGTAAGTTGAAAAAAAGATGTGAGATTGGGAATGAAGAACATTTCTGGAGGGTTTGACCTTCAAAAATCAGTCTTTTCCCTAGTTTTAAAAGATGCAATTATTATACAAATAAATGCTGTGGAAAGTTAAACATGAGTTGTTGTTGTTGTTGCTATGTGCTGTTGCGTTACCTGCGACTCATAGTGACCCTAAGTACAACGGCCTTAAACCCTATTCTATCCTGTGACAATCTCACTGTCTCTGACACACCCACCTCCATTACCCCAGTCACCAAATCAATCCATCTCATCAAGCGTCCTCCTTTCCTGCGCTGTCCCTACACCCTCCTAAGCATGACATCCCTCTCGAAGGACTGGTCCGTTCTTGAAACATGTCCGAAGTATGTCATACAAAGCTTCAGAATCCTTGCCTCCAAGGAGCAGCTTGGTTCCACCCTCTCTAAGCTGAACCTGTTTATTCTCCTAGCCATCCATGGTATATTCAATATTCTTCTCCAGCACCACAGCTCAAAGGCATCAATTCTCCTTCTGTAACCCCTAGTCATTATCCAGCTCTCTGATGCATAGCAAGTGATTGCAAAGACCATGGCCTGGATTAGTTGCACCTGAGTCTCCAGACTGACATCATTGCTCTTCAGTACTTTGGGGAGGTCTCTGATAGCAGACTTTCTCAATGCAATATGTCTTTTAATTTCCTGGCTGTTGGTGCCAAGAGTGTTGATTGTGGAGCCAAGGAAACTGAAGCTGTAAACAATCTCAGTCTCTTTACCATCTATCGTGTTGCAGCCAATTGGCCCAGTCGTGAGAATCTTTGTTTTCTTGATGTTGAGCTTCAATCCATATTTTGACCTTCTGTAGCAAATGCTTTCAGTCCTCCTCAGGTTCAGCAAGCCAGGTTGTGTCATCGGCATAACACAGATTGTTGATGAGTCTTCCTCCAATCCTGATGCCACATTTCTCTACATAGAGCCCAGCCTCCTGGATAACCTTTTTTGCATATGTTGTTTTTGTTGTTGTTATGTGTCGTCGAGTTGTTTGCAACTCATAGCGACCCTATGTACAACAGCCCTAAACCCTGCTCTATCCTGTGCCAATCGCTTTGCCTCTGACACACCCATCCCGATTACCCCAGAGAGAATAAAAAATAATGTAATCCAACAAACCTTCCAACTCCTTTGAAATACTGCTTGGGGTTTGATACATCTATCCAGATATTTTCCATTATTTTTGTAGTGTTATGT